TATATATATATATATATATATATATAAAGTTTTAGATGTTATTTTATTGCAAGTGGGGGCTAATTAACTGAATTTAACACTACGGTCGAAAAAGCAAACGTGTATCAATCAAATTATATCTTATAATCATCAATTGATATTGCATCACTATATCCTATGAGTTCGGATGGTACGCAGAGTGGCATGAGCGATGCTTGTGTTTTGGGGTTCAACGTTTGACTAGATGAAAGTAATGATATTTATAAATTATAACGAACACTTGCAAATTGTTTACTTTAATTAAAAATAATAATATTAAATAAAGAACAGAAATATAAAAAAATAACATAATTATTTCTTTGGTATCCGATTCATATACACCATATAAAACTTCCTATATCCCGTCATCACGAAGAAAATAAATCTTAATCTTGAAAATGATAAATGATGTGTTCAACATTATTCGCAGATATTTTTATTATTGTTTTTTTTTTGTTAAACAATATTTAAATTATTTTTGATACCTGATTTATACATGAATAATGTAATTATAAAAAAATAGAATTAAAAAAAAGGCACTAAAAAAAATCCACAGCTAATGAAAAATCCTACCCAATACTCTGCTTTCAACCCTCAAGAAATCAATGCATGTAAAAAAAAAAAAAGGTCGAGTAATTCGGATGTATAACCATAGAATTCCCCTTTATAAAAAAACGTGACCTGTTTATTCGGTTCAACCCGGATCCGGATCCGGATCCGGATCCGTTTCCAGTTGTGGAATCGAAACATCGTTAATTGGGCCTTATATTGGGCCTGATGGTTTTCAGAGGCTGTTTGTTTTGAAGGTTCTCGCTATCCTCACATTGGATCCGCCTAGTCTAGTTGCCAAACAAAGATGGAGGACGGTCTACACCCTAGCTAAGCTATTACATAAATGATAAACCCTAGATCACTACTTAATTAAACCCATAATTAATTTAATCAAACCCAATATAACTAGAGGTCGGTCGTCTTTATAAGACTCTACTCATCTTTTATATCTTGATTACAAATATCCAAATCATTCTTATTTGCCTATGCTGCTATGCAATCCTTTTCTCCCTATTTAATCTGTTAAATATATAAAAAGTTTAAATACCTAATCAACTCGAAATTTAAAGGTTTACAATCTACATTTATCATAATTTACAAAAATAAAAAAACGGTTCATCGTCACGTTTTCGTAAAATATGAATAAAACGGCAATGTTGCAAAGAGATTTATTTGAAAATTACAATAGAATGCGGAATATTTACCATGAATGTAAACCCAAAAAAAAACTTTAACGAGTACGAAAAGAAAATTTACATATTTTTTTTAGAAAATTAATATTTTATTATGAAATAAATTACTAAAAGTAAATATTTTTTAAATGACCCTACAAATTCATGATGTCAAATATGTTAAACGGAGAAAAACAATAATTACTTAATTAGATTCCCCTCTCTGTTGTATGGATTTTGCCCTTTGCCGCTCTCTTAAGCAATGTCTGTCCCTAATTAAACCCTTTCCAAACAAAACCCTAAACCCTAAGTTTATATATATGATGATTAAGTTGTAATATATGCATACATGTATCTATATACATGTGCATGCATACGTACGTACGTACAGCCATAAATATATACATGCATGTACTGCATGAACAGACAGTATATACAGAAGAACTGGAAACACAACAAATTCACACAGAATTTATGTACTGATTTTCATTTCGGACAATCTGTATATATAGTCGTAGCCTTTCTGATTATTTTGCAACAGTGATAGTTTTTTCTTGTAACGGCATCCGATTATTTTAGTATTAACATAATCATTCTATTAGAAATATTTTATTTGGTTCGACCACCTAAACCGACCGTACAAAATATGGCGTTGGTTTATTTTCGTTCTTTATTTAATTTTAATTTAAATTTTGACATCATGCATGCGTCGTAAAGTCATTTAGCAGCACTATAATCACTAATCATAATAGCTGATGAATATTTCTGTTAATTAGTGCAGAATTTAAAAAAATGGTATTAATGGGTAAAATTAAATAATAAGCAGCGAATTAATTAATCAGTTAGATTAAGATTAATATTTATTTATTTGTTACAATTCCTCGTACGATGCATGCATGCATGCCTGCCTTTGTGGGACGTCTATTCCAGAAAAAAAAAAAAGGAGTCAGTGATTACTAATTAGATTAAACACTAAATCAACCGAAAAAAAGAATAAGTATATAAATAATTGTACCAAAAAAAGAATTCCAAATAATCAAATCATGTATCATGTTGAATAGTGTGTATAAGTATATAAATAATTGTACCAAAAAAGAATAAAAATATATAAAGATTTATAATTCTCTCGCTCTTTCTCAATTTTTTTCACTGTTGTATTTATATAAAGCTCCAAATAATCCAATCATATGAAATTGTAAACTATTCAAAAATATAGGAAAAATATATCGCATTGTATTATTATTATTATTATTATTATTATTATTATTATTATCAGTAGTACTGGTAGTGATGACATTGAATAGAAAGAATGTATAAACAATTCCAACAAAGCACGCTGTGTATTTAATACCAACTTTCGAAATGATCATACCATATGTAAAAATATTATATTTTACATGAATCAAACACGTGGATCGGACTGATCATACTAAAATTCATTTCAGTTCATAATTGGATATAAAATGCATAATGAGAACGTGATTTTGTAAAATTTGATATGATACAGACACTCATATTGAACTTATGATGGTTGAGTTAAATTACAAGACAGATTATAATGAAATCAGAATAATCCGAGATAAACCAAATTTGTAATATAATAATTGATTTAGATGAACTTATATAGTGTTTATTATTATTATCTAATCGTGGAAACGATATGAACAAAATTTATATTTAAATATTTATATGAAAAAAGTATTAGCTTGATATTGTCTTTAGACTCATTTTGTAAGAATTAAAAGGAGATGATTATGATAAAACGATGCCATTCTCATCAATATAATTTATTTTAGCTAATTCTGTTTAAATAACATACACTTCAATTTTTTTCAATAGCTTTTCGTGCCAATTAAAATAAAACACATAACAAATTTGGAATTCATTACGAAGAATTTTATACCAGGAAATTTTTGGCCAAAAAAAAAGAAGAGAAATGATTAGAAATCAATGGTAATAATTATATGTAATCGAAAATTTGGCAGATAAAAAAAAAGGATAAAGTTATGGAAAGGGGAAATGGATGCTGAGTTGGATAGAAACAAACAAGTCATGGCAACATAATAAGAGCTTCTATGGATAAACTACAATGAGTAATGAACAGTCCAACACCATGATTATATTTTCTAAGTGGAATTCGATATCATTTTCACATATATATTCCAAAAAAATCCATTATTATAGCTAAAAAACTCATGTTTTTATTGGGTAAGATGTGATACAAATTTTATTTTAAATGTAATTTTGTAATAAAATAACTCGACATATAAAAACATGAGATTATGTAATAAATTCAATTATTTTGATTGTTTTATGAATTAAATACTTTGATACTATTTTTTTATAATTTAAAAGTAAAATAGAGTAAGAAGAAGCAAAATTTCACTTGGCCAATCATTCTGCTGGCCATGAGAGATCCGACCCTATCCCTTGGAAGTTTCCACATAAATCCCATGCCAAACACTCCGACTACCTCTCCTTGTGGTTAACATGCGCTTCCGTTCTCTGCGCAGACGGCACACGATTGAGCCGACCAAACATCTAGTTACACTAAAATGAGCCGGGTGCGTGGTTTCCTCCTCTCTCTCCCAAACTTATTCGCTCTTTAAGAAAAGCAACGTCTTTTCGCGTGGTCTTCGTCGTTTTCTCTCTCTCTCGTTCTTCCTGCTCAGATAGACGAATTTCCCGGCGGATTTCTGGGCGAGTTCACGTAGTTCTGGTTGCCGAATCTGCTCGTTCATCTGTCGAATTAGGATCAATGTCGTCTGATATAAGCTAGACTGATTCCTCATCCCTCGCTCTACTTCTTTTCCGTTTGCTTCTTCTTCTCCTTGCTTTCTCTGGCAATAAGTTTATGGCGGCTCAAGGTAGTGACTGCATCGGATCTAGCTCTATGGTTCGGTTTTCTACTGTTTGAGTTCTGATTTCACGGGCTTTGAGCTAGGGTTTGTAGTTTCTGCTGTTTTTTATTTAACTGATCGAGTACTGGGAGAATGATGGGTACGACGGAAATTTTACTGGGAGCAGTAGGACCACCGATAAAACCGAGGGCAGGATTGCGAAGGGAACAAGCGGGAAGAGGGTCATACAGAGGAAGCTAGTACTAGGTTGTTAGGTGATCTAAGGCAACAGGATTTCTCGGGAGTGGTGTAAGGAGAGTGGTTTTATTCTCTTGTTAAAGTTTTCGGACACAGATATTTCGAACTGAGAAAGAACAAAAGGAGGGTTCTACTGGAAGCTCTTGTCTTGGGCTTCTGTTGGGAGCTTCCTGTTCTGATTAGTGTTTCTTTTGGAGGTCGGGTTTAGTTGAACCGTTAAAGGTGTTTTTCGACTTCGTGTGGGGTTTAGATGGGTTCTACCTTGCAACAGATTCTGAAGAGCCTCTGCTCAAATACAGATTGGAAGTATGCCGTCTTCTGGAAATTCAATCATCGTTCTCGAACGTAAGTCGTGCAGGCATTTCTAGATATTCATCGTTTTATGGTTTATGGCTCGGAATGTTGTAATTGATTTGGTTGTGTTATATGAAAGGAATAGATAGAATTTTACTCGAATATGGACACCAAGCAAAGTTGATGACATTGATTCATTGATCTTTTAGTTCCTTTGAAAAACTTAAGTTGGATACTTTTGATAGTATTAGTAATATTTTAGAGGTCGGAAAACCTATAAGAGTTTCTCATTGATAAACTGCTGAATATCTTCAGGGTACTTACTTTGGAGGATGCTTACTATGATAATGATGGGCAGAATAACCCTGTGGAGGTTAAAGATTTTAATGACACAGCAGCAAATTCGCATGGCGGGCACTGTGCCCATGATCCCCTTGGATTAGCTGTGGCAAAGATGTCATATCATGTATATTCTCTAGGGGAAGGGTAAGGATCGGTTGCTTGTTGACTCACTGTCTTTGTTGATACCTTTGCTATGTTGTCTAAGAACTAAACTAAGTGTCTGGTATTCTTGCCCAATTGTCTATCATAAAGTTTGACATCCGGCACTGCTAGTTTTCTGTTTGCCTTTTTGTTGTTCCCCTTTGGTGTTGGCTACATGATGCACAATCTTGTCATTTCGTGGGAATTCATGTTAGATATTCTAGGAGATCCTACTTTAATAAGAAATGTTTATTTGGTTATGGACATTTCATTGAATTGTTCTAGCATCTTCATTTACATCATGTGTATTATCACAGGATTGTCGGACAAGTTGCAGTCTCTGGACAACATCAATGGGTCTTCCCTGAATATTTTCACAATTCTTACTTGAAATCTGAGGTCAGAAGCTTCACATCTTGGATTGGAATTCTACCTTCTCTTCTGTTTGCTTTGTTTCTAAAACATACTGTTCATATTTTCTTCAAATTCAGAATGTCTGGGGGAGTCAAATTTATGCTGGAATTAAGGTATCTGATATGGTTCCATTTTCTTTCTGTGTATCGCTCTATTTTTTTTTTGGAAGTTACAAAATGTTCCATTCCATTTCTTGGCATATTGTTTTTTTTATCATACTGATATAGTATAATCATCAACTCTATCACTATTTGGTTAGCTAAAATAGCTTAGCTATTTCTACTAGAATTCTTGATACTTTTGGAGTGGGAGAAAGGCTTGATAGGGTAAGGAAAGTGGTTCAACCTGGAGCTTAGGTTTGGCGTCATGTATGGCTTTTTTTCATGGTCGGTAATGGCCAGAAGGCTTGAATATGTGACGATCCAGTTCCAGAGATGAGTTCCAGAGATGGGTTGGCTTGGGCTTTACCGTTCGAGTTCTGGTTTGCGTATTCGTGCAATCGTTCCTGACTAAGCTAAGTTGTAGGTTTTGGCAAGTGACTACTTGTCTATGTTTTTAGACCTCATGATACTTAATGTAGCTGCATAGTCCTTGTCCATAATTTTTTCTCTGAGTTTCCTTTTTTTATTTCAAGTCAAGATAGTTATCCAAAAGCTCTTTCCCAATAAATTCTTTTACAAAATTTCTTGTCTTCCTCTTCTGCAGACCGTTCTTGTAGTAGCTGTTGGTCCTCGTGGAGTACTACAGCTAGGTTCTTTACGCAAAGTAAGATGGTGTCACCGTTTAACTGGATTCGGGAAAGTTTTTAGGCATCTCAAATGCGAAATGTGTACCAATGTATCTGGTCTTATTTTGTGCTTAATTGCTTATTTTTGGTGGAGCAGGTTGATGAGGATGGGACTTTGGTGACTCGTATCAGACAATTGTTTTTGGCGCTTAAGGAGTCGTTGACAGACCATGCCACCAACTTATTGCAATGTAGCATGAATAGTAAAACATCTCTGGTAATGTTTTCCTTGTGCAAATGTGTTTGCATGCTTGTTTGGGCTTCTGCTTATGTTTTGCAAAAAAAACTTGGATAGGAAAGGGGTGCCATAGTTTCTCTATGTTTTCTTCAGACCTCAAATGAAATGCTGAGTAAGGCCATAATATGTTATATAATTTTGTTGCAGCCAAGCATACCTTCAGAATGTTTACGTGTTAAGGCATTTCCTGATAGCTCAGAAGTAAATAAAGCTGTGAATGTGGAAGGGTCAAATCTTCTGTCACAGTATACAAGTGAACAAACTGTTAGCCTGCCAAATGCTCATCCTTCATCATGTCTTCATATGGAGATGGCTGTTCAAGTAATTGATGGGTGCGGAGCAGAGCAAGTATCCATGTCTGGGAGTTATCAAGGTGTTAAGCATGATTTTTCGGTTGATATAGCTGACACTAAAAGTGAGAACCAAGTGGGTACAGGCATCATCTGCAATGCGCTTTATGAGGGGGAAACTAGTAGCTGCAGATATTCGAAAAAGGAATCAGATCCCAGTTTGTATCCGTATTCAAGGAATGATGCTTTGAACAATATAGACTCATCTGCTTTTGCAATCGAGGATGACAGTTTTTTTGTAGGTCGGTTATATTCAGACCGCGATTCAGCTGTACACAGTTCATCGAAAATGGATGTAAAATGTTATCCGCTAAAGGAAGTGCCCCAGGTATCTGAGTGGCAAGTAGAAAGGTACCTGAAAGATTCAGATCATCTGCTGGAGAGTCAAAGCAAATCAAGTCAATTCGAGGCTTTGAGTGCATCTGTGTCTTCTTTTGCTGGCAGCAAGCTGCTAGAGGCATTAGGGCCTGCTTTCAGTGAAAGAAGCGCTAGGTGTCAAGAGCACGCGAAGTCTGAAACCGGAGCCACTGTAAGTCTGGCTGATGATTTGGGCCTTAGTCAGCTTACATTTGATTCCAACTTTGAGAATCTGCTAGATGCTGTGGTTGCCAATGTGTGTCATAGTGATGGTAACAGGCAGGGAATATCACCGAGTAGAGCAATGCATTCCTTGCTTACGAATGTTGAAAGGACAGAACCTTCAGGCCATGCAAAACATGATATTGTTAGTTCTGTTGGGAGTGTAATTAATCAACTGCCTCTTGCAGAAGGAAATACTCGACAGAATCCATCTGATATTTGTGGGGCATTTTCTTCCATTGGCTTCTCATCTAATTGTCCCAGTTCCTCTAGTGAGCAGTTCCAGACATCACTGGAGATGCCCAAGAAGATAAAAAAAAGAGCTAAACCAGGGGAAAGTTCCCGGCCTCGACCAAGGGACAGACAGCTCATTCAAGATCGTATTAAGGAGCTTAGGGAAATTGTGCCCAATGGTTCTAAGGTGACTCTTCTGTTTGCCTGTGACATTGTACTTTTATGGCTCTAAAAGTTATATATACACATATACGTATTATATATATATAATTTGCTTTTATCTAATAATTTTGTTATATTTTACAGTGCAGCATTGATTCTTTGCTGGAACGAACGATCGACCATATGCTCTTTTTACAGAATGTCACTAAGCATGCTGACAAGCTTAGTAAATGTGATAATTCGAAGGTAAATTGGGCTTCTCTATTATTGATCATTTGTCTTGTCTTAACCAGAAAGATGAATATTAGCTTGCATTGTTAATGAAGTGACTTACTGGGCCATTGTACACGATTGGTGTATCAGATTATTGGGTCAATATTTTAGTCAATATTTTAAATGCTTTCTAGGAAAGATAAAAAGGGCTCTTGGATGTATAAAAAGTTCTAGTGGAAAATAAAATGTTCAATCTGCTGAATCTCATAGTTAATACGTTGTGCCTTTGGACTTTCGGTTGCAGCACAAGGAAAAAACTGGCGTTCTGAGATCAGCTAGTACTGAACAAGGTTCAAGCTTGGCAGTGGAGGTTGGAGGGCATCTTCAAGTGTGCTCAATTATAGTGGAGAATCTGAACAAGCAGGGGCTGATGCTTATTGAGGTATGTAATTGTCTCTCTGATTTCTGAGGCCATCTAATTTGAATGGACAACAAACTCCATGGCAGTATCTAGATCCAAGCCATGTTGGGTATATGCAATTCTCAGCCTGAGTGTATTTTGGGTAATGTGAACAGATGTTATGTGAAGAATGTAGCCATTTTCTCGAGATAGCAAACGTGATCAAGAGCTTGGACCTGACCATCTTAAGAGGCATCTCCGAGGCACAAGGCGAGAAAACATGGATCTGCTTTGTAGTTGAGGTAGGTGTCCAAATGCTCTTGGAAATGACTCAGAAATGATCTAAAAATTGAGGCCATGCACTGTATGAGAGATTCCATTTCCAATACCGAGAAAAACTCATATCATCCAAGATCATCATATGAAATGATCTAAGAGTGATTGAACATCACAGAGTGGTGGAAATGTTTGCTATATTGAACATGCGGACACACTCCTTATGAATTTTTCAGGGCCAAAACAACAAAGTAATGCATAGGATGGACATCTTGTGGAAGCTGGTGCAAATATTTCAACACAAGGCCACAGGCAAGCAAGCCTCAGGTACAAATTGTGTCATAGCTCTCTAGGGTTCTTGCTTCCAGGAATCGTGGCTCTGTTAAATAAATCATGTAGATAAGAGGAAGGAAGCAAATGCCATTGTTTCTGGGTAGGTCAAGTTCTTAGAGAGGTCTGCCTCTTTTTCTAAGAGTGTGAGTTGCTTAGCTTTTGATGGACCTTGGAGTTCTTTGAACATTTCCATTTCAATGTCAGTTTTTATTTTTATTCACTCCCTATTAATACCCAGATTAGATTTATCATATCTGTCTGCCCAATACCTTGTAGTAGTACAATGAGGTCTTTGTTATTGCAGTGTTTTAAATAAGCCATTGGGTTTTGCAAAGAAAAAAGGAAGAGGCTTTCTTGATATGTTGAAATTCTTCGGATTCTGTACATAATACGCCAAAGCTTGAAACTTTACGCGAGACAAAACAAGAGCGGCGTCTCAGTTTCTTACATGAAAGCTCTGAGCAACTCGACTCTTGTCCGAGTTTCTTCACACATTCTTGTCCGAGCTTTCTCCACTTGCCCTTCTCGGAATCTCCCGATCTTACGCTTAATCAAACAATGCCCAAACCCCAAGCTTCTAGAACCTGCTTTAGCCGCCATGGTCAAGACCGGCGAGAGCCAAGACTGTTACTTTATGAACCAGTTCGTCACCGCCTGCACTTCCTTTGACCGCCTCGATCTAGCGGTTATCTCCATGGCCCAGATGCAGGAGCCTAATGTTTTCGTATACAATGCGCTGATTACAGGCTTCGTTCGTCGTTTACATCCACTTCGTGCTCTGGATTTCTATATTCTCATGCTCAGAAACTCCGTCTCTCCGTCGAGCTTCACGTTTTCCTCTTTGATAAAGGGTTCGTGTGATGTTTCCGCGTCTTGGTTTGGGGAATCGATTCATTGCCACGTCTTTAAATTTGGGTTTAGCTCTCATGTTCATGTTCAGACGACCCTTATTGATTTCTACTCGGATTCCGGTATAATCATGAACGCTAGGAAGGTGTTCGATGGAATGCCCGAAAGAGATGTTTTCGCATGGACCACTATGGTTTCAGCTTATGTTAAGGCTGGGAATATGGAGTCTGCAAGTGATTTGTTTGACGAAATGCCAGAAAAGAAGATTGCAGCTTGGAATTGTATGATCGATGGATACATAAAATCGGGAAACTCGGAACTAGCAGAGTCATTGTTCAATCAGATGCCGGTGAAGGATGTAATCTCATGGACAACTATGATCAACTGTTACTCCCATAACAAGAGGTACGTAGAAGCAATAGCCGTGTTCCAAAGAATGACGGAAGAGGGGATTATCCCCGATGAGGTGACTATGTCGACTGTTATTTCGGCTTGTGCCCATCTCGGAGCTTTAGATTTAGGTAAGGACATTCATCTTTACATTGCGCGGAACAGGTTTGATCTTGACGTATACGTTGGGTCCGGATTGGTTGATATGTATGCAAAATGCGGTAGCTTAGACCGGGCGCTTCTGATATTCCTCAACTTACCGAAAAAGAACCTCTTTTGCTGGAATTCGATCATAGATGGGCTTGCCTCGCATGGTTATGCACAAGAGGCGCTGAAAATGTTTGCTGATATGGAGAAGGAGAAGGTAAAACCTAACGGGGTCACTTTCGTAAGTCTTTTAACCGCATGTACTCATTCGGGTCTGGCAGGAGAAGGCAAAAGGATATTCAAGAGCATGATCGATGACTATTCCATTGCTCCTAGCATCGAACACTACGGATGCATGGTTGATCTGTTAAGCAAAGCCGGGTTGGTCCAGGAGGCACTTGCGTTGATCAAAGGCATGAACTTTGAACCAAATGCGGTTATTTGGGGGGCATTGCTCGGGGGGTGCAAAACTCACGGGAATTTAGAGATAGCTGAGGTAGCGTTTAACGAGTTGACAGTGTTGGAGCCGGAGAACAGCGGGTATTACTCGCTTCTGATAAATATGTACGCAGAAGAAAACCGGTGGGGGGATGTTGCAGAGATGAGAGGAAGAATGAGAGTTATGGGGATAGAGAAGAGATGTCCTGGGACAAGTTGGGTGGAGATAGACAGGAGAGTTCATCAGTTCGCTGCGTCAGACAAATCTCACAAGGCTTCTGATGAGATTTACTTGTTGCTTGACTTTATGTATTTCCAACTGAATGCAAACCGGTTATGCATACCGGTTTCCGGTTTATAAAATTTGAAGATGATTTTATAAACCGGTTTTGCAATACATGTTGGTAGCTCCTCTCCAATGGAGAAACATACATATAAGAGGAGGTTTTATGATATGTATTTGGAAAAGTTGGTAGGGTCTTTTGTTCTTGTAAATATCATTAGACGTAGGTTATAAGATTCAGTTGTACGATTCGTATTCATTCATAAAATCATTTCAGGTTTTTTTTTCTTCGCTCTATGATTTCCGGTTTATTTTTTCTAAACCGAAATTGATGTCTTTAGAATATGGTTTAACCGGTTCACATTTTATCTCCGGTTCACTTGCCCTTGGCTTTAAAAAAAAAGAGGAGGAAAAGAAAGTAAGGGGCAAAAAATTGAGACGCGTAAAGCAAAAGCAATCTCATGTCGAAGGCAGGCTCTGTTCGAAGCTTCCACTTCAACGATTCATTCCAGATATTCCAGGGAGGGAGAGAAGGTTACGCGTTTCTTCTGAATTAGGGTTTATCGTGGATCCCTCTCCGCTTCTCTTAAAAGGTTTGTTTTTCCGCTCATTATCCTCTGATCGTTCTCTCTGTGAATGTTCGTTTTGATTCTGATCTTTTCCATGTGATTGTTTTCGAGTTTCCGATCTATTCCTCCTTCAATATTCTGGAGAAACTTCCCCCCGTTTCTCGCTTTCGATTCCCCCGTTATGGAGCTGCTTGACCTGTATTTTCCCGATTTTTCTGGGATTTTTCTGTTCGGTGAAGAAGATTCATCAGAAAATCAAACAATGGTGTCTTCTAGTTCATAAAATGTGAGATTCTCCGTCAGTTTTGAATGCTTTTCTTGTTATGTAGATCGTGGAGGCTAAGGTTTCTTAGCATGTCTCGAGATCATGCGAGAAAGTGTTTAATTTGACGTGTAGCAACAGCATATTAGAGGAAGTCATCATAATTGAAGCTGAGTCATTCTTGTTTCTCTGAGCAATTTGCTTTTCAATTTTTTTTTCTCTCTACATTGTTTGTAGTGGACAACTAGAAATCCTGATGAATGAATTGGATTTTTTTTGTAAGGTTGTAGATCATAAGCACTTCTCTTCTTATTTTTCTTTAGAGAAGCCACCATGGTTGTACACATCAAGTGTTTTAGGTTCTTGTTCCACTGTGTTATGTTTGGTCTGTCTAAGAACTTCTCTTTTAACAGAGATTCAAGTAAGCATTCTTTATAATACATGTCTTCGAAACGAGTTTGACCTATGCAGTTCTATATTTCAACCACTTAGTCTATTTGTGATGATCTTGCTAGCTTGCCCATATATCGTATCCTTTGCTTTTTTGTTTCCAATATTATATGTTGTAGTGTTACTGTCCTCCAAAGTAGTGTTTTGTTCTCTGCTAGGAATCTCTGATCATGTTCTTGTTTGAAACTGTGGATAGCCCCAACGTTTGGAATCTCTTTCCTTTTCTTCCGTATATACTCGGGGATTATCTTATACGTTTGCATGGCAGAACAGAATTTCACATGACATGGCTGGCTCTGACGGGAAAAATGAGTCAGAGTGGATCAGAAGAGTGAAGTCAGGTGGAGCTGTTCCATTTCTTGAACAAGACAGCTGCCAAAATGGTTGGACAACGCCATCGGCGGACAAGTTTTTGGTTAGAGGACCAAACTATCTGTCTGACCGGGTTAAAACCCCGGCTGGTGATTTCCTTCTGATGCCTTTGGGGTTTGACTGGGTTAAGGGGCCAGCCAAGATTTCTGAGATCCTAAATGATCCAACCAGCCGAGTCAAGAATGTTATCGAAGAGGAGTTTCATAACAGTGAAACTAAACCTTTCATTTGGGCTTTCAATCTTCAGCTTCCACACAGAGACAATTACAGCGCTGTGGCATACTTTGCAGCCACAGAGCCTATTCCAGAAGGGTCATTGATGGATCGGTTTCTGAAAGGAGATGAAGTGTTTAAAAAGTCGAGGCTTAAATTGATAGCCAACATTGTCAAAGGGCCTTGGATCGTGAGAAAAGCTGTCGGGGAGCAAGCTATTTGCATAATAGGACGTGCCCTCTCGTGCAAATACATTTCGGGAGAAAGCTTCGTGGAGATTGATGTGGATATCGGTTCTTCCATGGTGGCTAGTGCCATTGTTCATCTTGCATTTGGATACATCACTACACTTACAGTCGACATAGCCTTCCTTATCGAAGGCCAAACAGAAGCAGAGCTTCCTGAACAACTCTTAGGAGCCGTGAGGTTCTCTGAGCTACAGCCCGACTCAGCCATGCCAATGGAACAATGCTCTGCCACTATCTGCACGAATTCTGAACGCTCGAGCTGGTGGAAGTCGATCGGGCATGGATTTTCCAATCTAATTCATCAGGACTCAGCCAATATGGACAGAAAAGAAGATGGTAAAGATGTACAGAAACAGTAAGTATTCAAAGTTCTGAATTTTCTTCAGATGAATAGCCACAAAAAAAAAAATTCCAAATCTTTCTTCAGCCCTTTCATTTGTTTTTTGTTCTTGGAAGCTTAAAACTATGATTCAAAAGCTCTCATTGATTATCTGTTTATATAACCTTTCATTTGTACAGCTTATTTCGTTGTTAATAGGGGGGGGGGTCACATTGGAAGGAAACAATATGGTTTAGAAGATAATAAAATGGAGAATTGCCTTATTAATTGGAATCTAATGGACCCATCTGTCTAAACCAAGCCCTGATTTTATAATTTGGTGGCGTTGCATTTGCAGTCAATGCTTTAAGCAAATGTATACCATTTAACCATCAAAATTTCACTTTTTGATTTTTTTACCAACGAAAAAATTGGAAATAATGGAGATAATATAAAAATAGGAAAGAACATAACCAACCAACGCGGGGAAAGATATTATACAATATTAGGATAAAGAGTATCTTTTTAGATCTTAGATGACAATAGTTTATTTTTATATATGATCTAAATTAAAATAATGATATCCACTTGGGTGAGACGCAAGGAGATCCACAGAAGAAAAGTGGACCCCACGAGACCTTGCTGTAAGCACAATGCTGTCTCCTTTTGATTCGCAGAATCAAATCTCACACACCAAACCCTATCTTCTACCTCCCTCTTCTCCACCAATCGCGCCATTCTTGAAGAAAAAAAAAAGGATTTTTTTTCTTTTCTATCTGCCTCTTCTTCTTCTTTCATCTCCATTTTCGTTTATATCCTTCGAGTGCTTCTCTCCTCTTCTTTTTCTTTTCTCTTCCTTTTTTCCCCACCTTGTCTTAATCCTGAAGCAGATCTGTAGGTTACTAGTAACGTCTGATCCTAAAAACACTCATTCTCTCTCTATATCTTCTTCACTTCCCGGGAAAATCAGAAATCTAGACAGAAAAGGAGAAGAAACACACAAAGTTTGGATCTTTTTTATGTGGGTATTTGCTAAAGTATAAAAAAAAAACAGAGAGAGAGAGGGAGAATGAAGATACAGTGCGATGTGTGTGAGAAAGCGCCAGCGACGGTGATATGTTGCGCGGACGAGGCAGCTCTCTGCCCTAAATGCGACGTGGAGGTTCACGCCGCCAACAAGCTCGCCAGCAAACACCAGCGCCTTCTTCTCAGCTCTCTCCCCCCCAAATTCCCTCCCTGTGACATTTGCCAAGTAACCCTCTCTCTCTCTCTCTCTCTCTCTCTCTCTCTCTCTCTGTTTGTCCCTCTGTATGTATTTCTGTATTTGTCTGTGTTTTTTATTCTGAAAACCAGAACAAACTGTATTGGTCATGTCATTATCTTGGTAACTTCACAGCTCTTGGAGTGGAAGATTACTTGAATAGTTTTCTAGGATGAAGTAGAGAAAAAAAAATTTAGGGAAAAGAGCAACAGATGTTAATCTAAGAAGTGCAAAATCTTCTTGTGTCGTGTCCAGGAGAAGGCAGCTTTCATATTCTGCGTGGAGGATAGAGCACTTCTCTGCAGGGACTGCGACCAAGCCATCCATGAGGTTAATACCCTTTCTGCCAATCACCAGAGGTTCTTGGCCACCGGAATTCGAGTCGCTCTGAGTTCTAGTAGTTGCAATAAGGAAGTTCATAAGAATCAGTCTGAACCCTCTAACCAGCAGAACTTGGGGCCTTTGCCCAGCAAAGCTCCGACCCATCAGCCCCTTCCATGGGCGGCCATTGACGACTTCTTCCACTTCTCAGATCTCGAGTCCTCTGAGAAGGTGACATTACTGGTTCTCTATTTGGCTTTTTGCCTTGTTTGCTCTTCAACTTCTTGTGTGTAGATATAATGTGGAACGCGTAGGCCTGTATATGTTTAGAACATTACAAGAGCAGATGATGCTTGAGGCGAACGAGAACTTGGTGACTAACCTCAGTAACCTGTCTTTGTCATTGTCTAATTCAGCAGAAGGAACAGCAGCTCAATCTCGGGGAACTGGAGTGGCTTGCAGACGTGGGTCTCTTCGGGGAACAGCTTCATCAGGGGGTTGTACCAGCAGCTGAAGTTCCCGAGCTTCCAGTTTCACATTCGAACCACCTTCACTCATACGGCAGACCCATGAAGTCCAGTGCATCCCACAAGAAGCCAAGACTCGAGATCCGAAATGATGATGATGATGAAGAACACTTCATTGTCCCAGACCTTGGCTAAAGAACTATCAAGAAGTAGTAAAAAACCTTAAGATTATGCATGTCTAGACACTGGACAGTGTGGCTCGAGAATGTTCTCTGTTCTTGTCTGAATCATAATACACCTTTTGTATCATGTCTTGGCTGTCCAGTGTTGTTCATACCTCCTGAACATGGTATTTGCTCTGTAGATTTAGGCACTGTGGCTCTATGTTATGTCTTAGCTTTTGGAACAAGGACTTCAACGGTATGAATAATGAAAATGCGTACAAGTACTACGCAAGGAGAATTCCATGCCATGGAATCTGATCATTGCTTCAGATCGGTTAGTCCATGACTTTAGCTTACATGAGCTTATTGATATTGTTCATTACATATCATATATCTCGGTAACTTATCTACCGACCCAAATGAAAGTTATTTTCACCATCAGTAACACAATCCTGGACCTCAGTCCCAGAAACTGTCTCCTGATACCAGAAAACTCGGCCACACAAGAAATCCTCTGAGAATGTCTTCTCCCATTTAGTCCCTTCAGAAATGGCAACACTCACAATTTTAACATTATCCAACCATCTCCTCTGACTGATCCCAACGGCTTTTGTGAACTCAATCCAAGTAGCAGACCAGTTTCACAGTTTTATTCCAAGAGAGTAAAGAATGTGAACTCATGGAGATTGGGGTGTTCCAGCGTTGACTTAACACTTAAAAGGGCAGTTCCTTTTCGGTGTAGGACCATCAATATAAACCAATATTTCCAGAATCCATCTCTCTCTCGGGCAACCCTTTTTTTCCGTTTAATGCAGAGAGCTCTTCATCTTCATAACCATATTCATCTGCAGAATCAACTTCGGTGTCTGAAAATCTCAGAGAATGCTCATCGTCACGGTGATTCTCCTCTTTTCTGATTTTGGGTTTCTGTGATTCTTTGTTGTACTCCTTTGAGGAAGCATCCAAGATCGAGAGAGGATTTCTATTATTCGGGTCGCCATATAGGGCAACATGCCTGTAGTAGAGTTCAAGTTCTTTCTCTGCAATGGCGATGAAGCGTCTCACTGATTCCAGTGACTGTTGGTATTTTGATTTTTCAAATGCCTGTGAGGAGGGACAAGACCAGGTTAGGGACCAGTTTGCTGTCATTTTGCCAACATAAAACAGATGGGAATCGACACACGGAACAGCAAACACTAAGTGGTCGTAGCATCTGAATTCTAAACACAAGGTCTACTATAAACCCTGGAACTCTGTCTTCTAGTAACCACTGCTAAAAAATCATCTTACTAGAAAACCAAGGTTCTACAACTAGCAATTATGGATCTATATCCATGGCTTCTAGTTTATTAATCGTGTCTTTACAATTCAAAATCCACCTGTAGTACATGCTGTATATTAACCAGGTAAGAACTAGTTCAATGTACAGTTTAATTAAGCTTGTATCTCCCACTCTGTAGCAAGATTCATGAGCTAACCTTCATGAGCTATCAACATTACAACAAGGGAAATAAAAGCATGATAAATTTGGTTTGCGTACCCTTTTCTTTGACAGTGTATCTATTGGTGACATAACTTCCGGCTGAACATAGTTTTTGCCTCTATAAAATATGATAATGTCATCGCCGATTATTTTAATTGGGATACCACCACTCAGTCTAGCAAGCTCATCCGCATACTGTTGCACTTGGCCTGGCTTACAATTCTTGCATATAACCTTAACAGTTTCATGCTTCTTCCAGTGCATATGCATATTAAGAATAACGCCACCAAACACTCCTCTTCTGCCAATCGGTACATAATTAGACCTTTTCTGAGCCATTTTCTTCATGTAAAACCGTTCTTCGCCTGTTAGTTCATGCGGCTGAACCTCAGGCCCATGAACTTTAGGAACCTCGTACCGTTTCAGTCTCTCGATCAGCAAGGCTTCTTTAATCTTGGCCTGAAAATAGAACAAAGCCAAGAAGACAAAATCAGTTTGGACCTCCAACGTAGCACAAAACAAAAATATTTTCTCCATAATCACATAACAAACTGCATCCGGATATTGGATTCTTAACAATTAAACCTCACTCATTCATACGAGCGATTCAGACATCAACATACAAACTTAGAAAAAAAAGTGAACCTCCAACTAAAATGTGTCTGAGAATTGTAAATATAATCAGGAATTTATACCCTTCCATAATTCATTTCATGGAAGTTTCCCTGTCGTATATATGAATTCTTAGTTTCAAATGGATCTTACAGACCTTTTCAAGCTTGCACTTTATTCTTTCCTCCGCATTAGCAAATTTTCTCTTCTTCCCTTTGACGGTAAGCCGACGAGGGTCCCTCTTGTTAGCCGCTCTCCTTTCCTCTCTTTCCTTTTTCCTTTTCAGCTTCAGCCTCTTTTTACTCAACCATTTATATTTTTTAGGAGGATCAACTTCACGTGTTTCAAACTTGGGTTTCCCTTCTGATATAACTAAGTTCACTGCACCATGGCTAAAGTTTCTATATATCAGGATTGGATTTGTTGAGATGGTGGGCAGCAAGCTTATGGGTGATGAATAAAAGAATTCTTGGACTTGAGGAAGTGACCTGAAAGAAACAGAAAAAATTGTGAAATCTGAAGCATAAGCTCCGGCAGATACAAGTGCACAAAATTCTTAGCTTTTTCTCCAAATTTCTCACATCCACATGTTTTGTTGCTCATAAACAATCTCGGGTTTTCGGGCGCAACAACTATTTAGAAAGCATCTAATGGAATCTCGGACAAGAACTGAGATGCTAAGAAAACTGCTACATGTAAAGGTAACACAAACAAAAAGGAAAAGAAATCCAAACTTAGGGACGGATTGTTGCACAAATGAAGAAAATATCATGTCAAATCATTTCGGGTATGCAGGAGTACACACAACAAGGTACCTCACAGAAACAATAAGTGGAGAAGAGGGTTTGAGAAGAGATGAAGCTCTTTGAAGAGCGCGAACAAAAGCAATTGCCATCCAGTGAAAGTGTTAGATCGACCTTATTCCTCAACTTAGCCCTCTTGAGAACGGACAGTTTCATAGAACCTGCTCAGAAAAAGTGTATGCACATGTAAATTACTCACCCATAACCAACATACAATATGCTCTCATTCACTGTAAAAGCTACAGCATTCCAGAACTGAGGGAAGACAAAATACCATAACAACGGTCCCTATTACAAAATCTATGCGGAAAGGCACCAAGCAGAACACAGATGAAAGTGAAATAAACCCTAATTCTGGATTGAAACCAAGCAGAAGAAGCACGACCAAAAGCGAAAGGGAGATGGAAAAAGAATCTAAGCACACCAAAAGGAACGGGACGCAAATGCTCCGGAAGCTGGCTGTGCCTCCGACACGATCAGGATTTAGGACGAAAACCTGATTTCCCCTCGACACGAAGTCCATAGAACAGGGAGGAAGGAGAATTTCGCGTGGAAAGAGGCCCCGGGGGGGGGGAGATTTTGGAAATATATATGGGCTTTTTAACTGGGCCCACTGTATTCATAATGGGCCAAACTGGGATGCCACGTAAAGCCTTAAAATCACCTTCTGCGTATTTAGTCTTGATTCCCTAATTTATTGGTTTGGGTGTCCAACACATGCCTCTCGTTGTATTTTTTTATTCAGACTTTAATATAAATTTTTTTAGGGCTACTTGTTAAGATGTGCAAAAAAAAAGTGTACCAAAAACGTTTGCATATTATCTTTTTTTCCAAGTAATATCAAGAATATCTTTACATATTTTAAAAATTTACAAAAAAATTTTTTTTCTCCAAACTAATTTTAGACCGAAATATACATTTTCTGACAAAACAACTTCATTGTAAAGAATTTTTTGAACGAAAACAAGTCCTCCTGTATGAAAAGCTTCGTATTGAATAGTTCATGTACTAAAACAGATTCTTTCGTAAGAAAACATATTATTCTGGACGAAATAGGTTCATCATGAATTAATCTCAAACGAAAACATGTTTTTTCGGACAAAAACAATTATCCTGTATGAAACAGTTTCATCCTGAACTCTCAGATGAAAACAGGTTCTCCCGGACGAAATATTTTCGTCTTGAACAACTCCCAGATAAAAAAAAAAGTTTCATCCTATATAATATGTTTCATCCTAAAAATTTGTTTTTCATCCTATACATCTTTCGTAACGTTAAATATCAATATATAAATTAGACAATAAAAAAGGATATTTTTGTCAAAATTTCATACAAACTTATAGTTTGCAAATGATGAAAAAAATAGATTTCCAATCTCTCTCCAAAAATGTCACATTTGCCTAAATTTTCTAATTTTTTTTAAAATCTGATTGGTTGGTGAGAATCGTACATGTATCTTTTAAGTAGCATAAAACACATTATATTTTACTTTTATCTCGTTCGAGGGTAAGCGTATAATGGTATGCTTTGAATTTCACATGTTCCCATCGATCAGTTTACATATTTATTCACCGAATTCGTTTCGCGATTTTCAATTGAATTCATTAGAAAATATAAGAAAAATATCACATCTATACTTAAAGAGTTTAATTTAAAGTTTTTAAAGTATAATTATATCATATTAATATTACATAGATAAAAAAAAGCCTATTCGTAATAGATATATGTTACTAGAGTTATTTTTGTCACGTGACATTATTCTTGTGAAAGTCACGTGACAATATTACCTAGTATCCTCTCTGCTCATCATGCAGTGTGAGTGTGACTATTGAAGAGAAACTCAAGTTAATGCCTTTCTGTCTTCACTTCTGATTTAGCATTCTACGTTTCTATACTTTTATGACGCAACAGATTTTTGGACCTATAAAAATTTAAGAGATATCTTTGTAAACGATAATAGTAATAATAAAAGAGAGACATTTATAGTTAGGGATCGCTAAAACCCCGAAACAACAACAACAACGATGATGACGATGATGACGATGTATCATCATATTATTCCACTTTGCCAAAATAGACAAAAGCGTTACAAGAAGAAAACCTTAAGGGTCCAGACACTACACGCCCGAGGTTCCAATTTCTCGGACCATATCATCCAACACCTTGTACGAGCTCCCACCTTCGTCAATGGCAGCTAGCCCCATCCGCCGGAGCTCCACTAACTTCTCCCGCGCTGGAAGGTCCACGCGGACCGAGTCGGCCAACACTCGGGCGAGTTCATCCGAGTCAGGGACCGAGTCCATGCCGTCGCAGACCTTGACGGCGGCGCCCAGCTCATCGGCGAGGAGCTTGGTGTTGAAATGGTTGTCCGCGTGCATGGGCCAAGCCAACAGCACCGTGCCGCCTATCAACCCTTCCAAGACGGAGCCCCACCCGAGATGGGTCAGATACGACCCGACAGCTCGGTGCTCCAGGATCACCTTCTGGGGGGCCCACCCTCTGATCACCCTCCCTCTCTCTGCCGTCCGTTCCTCGAACCCTTGAGGGACGATCTCCGCCGTATCGTCTCCGCCGCTTTTCTTCACCGCCCATATGAAGCGGACGCCGCTTTTCTCTAGAGCCGCCGCGATGGCCTCGCCTTGGGCCTTGCCCATGCTGACCTGGCTCCCGAATGACACGTAGACGACGGAGTTCTCGGGTAAGGCGTCGAGCCACGCCGTTAGCTCGCCGACGGGGACAGAGCTTTTCCCGCCGCGGTCTTCGGCGGAGGGTGGGAGAATGGGACCCACAGTCCAGACTCGGTGGTTGCCCATAAAATTCTTCTTTAGATCTTCGACGTATTTTTCCTCCAACTCCTTGAATGAGTTTAGAACCAGTCCCCAGCTCTTGCTTGTGTTCAGTATGAGCTCCTCTAAGAACCCACGGTCGTCTTGTCCAAAGATCGCCGACAACGTGTGAGCAGTTGTCGGGAGGAAGGCAATGGACTTGATCCCCAACTCCTCGGCGATCTTGTTCGTCCACGGAACAGAGAACACGTCGGCAAGGATGGCGGCGGGTGGGTCCGTGGAGGACTTGAGCCAATCAGAGACAGGGTGGCGGAGGAGAGAGAAAGCTTGGATCATGTCTCCAATGGCGTGGATAGGGAGCTGAGACATGTTCTCGACGCCGGAGGGAATGGAAGGGTGAGAAGGGAAGGGGAAGGAGAGGGGACGGAGGTTTTCCGGCGAGTGGAGGCGGAGGAGAGGGTCTAGATAATGGAGGTTATCGGGTGTGAGGAGGACGGTGACGGCAGCGTCGCGACGGAGGAGGTGGTGGACGAGGTCGACGATCGGAAGCATGTGGCCTGGCTGTGGGAACGGTATCACCATTACGTGTGTCTTCTTGTTCTTCGCCATTGTTCTCTCTCTCTCTCTCTCTCTCTCTAGCTTCGAATTCGAAGGTATGGTTATGGAGAATGTTAGGGTTAGGAAACCATATTTTATAGAAAGGTTCCTGAGCAATGTGGTTCTATGGATTCTCTGTTGGTGGTAGGTTGGGAAAAAATGTACGACATATATATTTTTTACTATTTCAAGCATAAAGAAAGGAAAAAATCTTCAACCTCCGACTTTGTTGCCCGTACAAATTCCCATTTTGTATGGTTAGCCCGATTAAAAAAAAAAACATATCATGAGCGGACCCACTTCCAAAAATATAGGTCACGTGTCCCATGTGTAATTCAAAAGAATTAATTTCTTATAAAATTTTAGATAAATTATTAAATGATCCCATACCAAACGACCTATAATAAAATTGTTGTCCTCATTTATTATTATCGGGTCCGCTCATGAGGTAGGTTTGGTTATCTTAAGTGGTCCTTTATATTAATATTTTGAGTATGTTTTTCAAAATTATATTAGATTTAGTTCTATTATCTCATTAACTCTAACCAAAATTACTTATCCTAGAATGATATATATATATATATATGTATACCATATACATATAATTAATACAATAAGATGTTTTTATTAGTAATTGGATCTATGTATTGACGTTTTAATCACAATAGTCCTTATATCTATATAAAGTCCAACAAATGGCTGCTTTGTTTTTATTGGTATAGAATTTACAATAAGGAAAAAATTAATATATTATTACAATTAAAAAAGTAAAACACTAATAAAACACTAATTTTATTATATATAAAAAAAGAAAACGTTACATAGAAAACCATAATTGTAATTTATTAATAAATCAAAAACCAAACACGGAGAATACATGTTCTTATTCAGCATCTCAATAGTGACAAAGGAATCCATGGGCATGTACGTTACCAAAAACAAATCCAGGGGCACGTGTATGGAGGTAAATAATTATTCCATGGGCTGTGAAAGGAGGTAGTTATTGTTTCAATAAAATAAACGGTACTCCACGTTTCCCTAATTTAGCATCCTACGTTTCTCTTTTATGACACAACAGATTTATGGACTACAAAAATTTAAGAGATATCTTTATAAAATAAAAATAAAAAAATCACGTAAAATATATAGATTTCTCATTTTTAACATAAAGAAAAAATTGTGGACTTTATTTTTTTTTACAGTTAAGACCTCTAACTTAATTCTCATAACCAAAATAAATCCGAATTTTGTAATACTTGAGTATTGATATATCATTCGGAAAATCTACATAGTTTATCACCTCAATTTTCACATGGACAAATAAAAAATCCTGTTATTTTCTTATTTAAAAATAATAAATAATAAAAAAATACATATCTACGTGTGTATACACACACATTCATATCTATATACATATATATACATGCTTATACACATATACATTCATATATATATATATATATATTCATGCATATATATACATATATAAAAAGCCATATCATTTTCTTATTTTAAAAAATAAAAATAATTAATATATATATATACATGTATTTATACACATATACTCATTCATATATGTATCCATATATATACATACATGCTTATACATATATATACACATATATATGTATGGATGTATATGTATATATATGGATACATATGTATGTGTATATATACATATGTACATAAATGTGTATATATAAATATGTGTATGTATGAATTTGTATGTGTATAAGCATGTATGGATATATCTATATGTGTGTGTTTTTTTCTTTATTATTTATCATTTTATTATTATTTAAAATAAAAAATGACATGATTTTTTTTTATCAAATTATGTGAAGGATAATCGTATCATATAGATTTTTGGAACATTATGTCAGTATTCAGTTATACAAGTGATATCAATTATAAAGTTCGGATTTATGATTTATTTTAAATAACATAATGGAATTTTATTTGTTAAAATAAAATTTAGGTTTTTTTATGTTAAAATTGAGAAGTTTAGTTATTTTTTATGTGATTTTTCAAAATAATAATAATAATAAAGATAAAGAGAAACATTTATAGTTGGGCCTCTCTAAAACCTCGAAAACAACGACGACGACAATGAACAATGATGATGATGATATATCATCATATTATTCCTCCTCTGCGCGAAAATGGTCAAAAGCGCTATAAGAAGAAAACCTCGAGGGTAAGTAACGAAAATACATGAGCGAGCTTGTAACACCCCGATTTCCATGTATCATTGACGGATTGTGCTACATGGATAAATTCCAAATAAAATATTTATTTATATAAAACTACGGAAAATTTTAAATATTTTTTTTAATCATATTTTACATTAAACATACCAAACCATAATTAGTGTTGAAATCCTCAAAAATAAAATACACACGTTTATAGTATATTTTAAAAGTTCAGTTACCAAATAAAACATTTGAAAGTTTTGATTATCGTCCAATTGTCGTTCACGTATTCTAAAATATTGTATAACAACGTCTAAGCTAATGCTTAGTGAATGACTCGAGTTAAACCCGCAATTTTAGTTTTCATTGAAATGGATAAAATTCAACGTCTAATAAGTTTTTAATCAAGTTTTAATATTCGTTATTTTAAATCTAATCTCCAATCATCGAATTAATCTCACAACACAATCAAAATCCATATAATCACGTAAAAGGATAATCCCGTCAAATCATCTCTATGTGAATCGCACACATATGTCAATCCAAGCAAGTCGCATGCGAGGATCATATATCTCGTGTCTGTATGCATCGCACATACAGATCAGTCCAAGTGAGTCACACACGAGGACCATACAACTCATCCAAGTACTCCACGCACAAGGATGGATGTCTGCAACCCATGCAACCCAAGTACATCATATACGAGGATCAAATGTGATCTTCATAACTCCTCATCGGTAACCGATATCACATATCTCGTAACCGAAATTACATAAACTTATCTACTCCAGACGACAATCCCTGACGCCATCGACTGTCGGGTAGAGCTAATCACTGAAACTCTCCCTCGCCGACCATCCGCCGCGGAAACACTCGTCAGACTTGAGCTCAAGTCTTTCAGAGTGTAACCGTACCACCTCCTCGGGAGAATCACTCAATCCCAAATATCAGGTTTTAATGCCTATTCCCCGCCCCATGATCAGTGGGGTCGTTGGGCTGGTTACCAAATATTCGTATTTCCTCATCGACGCAATAGTATTGATTTCACATAGTCAATCGGTACTGACTACGCGAATCATCGGGTAACCCAATCACAATCATATCCCAACTCATATAATATACGATCCAGATCATATACTATATAAATGAGACTATAATCATATCAATTATTAATATTTCATATATAGAATTACCATACTACAATCATGCATTTCATAATAACCGAACTGATTCGACATATTATTGACGTCATACAATTCTATCCTTTTTAGTTTGGTCTCTTGATATATTATTAAACATTTATCAATTATATTATTATTATTATTATTTATTTTTATAGTAATAACATATTTTTATTTACCTGTTTTTACACCATAACTTCACAATTGTTATAAACTTCAATCATTAACATGTTTTTATTTTTAACAATATACCCGAACATCGTTTTCTATCTTTAAGCAATGATAGTTAAATTTGAGAATTTAACTCGAATCACTCACCGACATGTGTAGATTTGTTTCTGTAACGGGCGTCTCTAGAATGGATTGAAATACCTTCTTCTTCTTCTTTTTTAATTAATCTCACTCTCTTCTTTTTTTTTTTATATTTTTATATTTTTATTTTTATCTCTCTCTCCCCCTTCTCTCTTGTGTGTGTTATGTATATATGTTGTACGAAAGGGGGTTGTCCCCTTTTATAGACTCTTTTTTTTTTTGTTCTGGGCAATTGCCCACAATCTTTTTTTTAAAAAAATTATACTTTTTTTCTTGTGGGTAAGCCCCGTTTCATTTTGTTTTTTTGTGGGCGTTAATGGGCCACGATTTGTGTTTTTTTATTTATTAATAATATTTTTTTTAAAAACAATTGGGTCTTGAGCCCAATAATGTTACAGAGCTGAGGGTCCAGACACTACACAGCCGAGGTTCCAACTTCTCGCACCATATCATCCAACGCCTTGTACGAGCTCCCACCTTCATCAATGGCAGCTAGCCCCATCCCCCGGAGCTCCACCGCCTTCCCCCGCTCTGGCAGGTCCACGCGGACCGAGTCGGCCAACACTCGGGCGAGTTCATCCGAGTCAGGGACCGAGTCCATGCCGTCGCAGACCTTGACGGCTGCACCCAGCTCATCGGCAAGGAGCTTGGTGTTGAAATGGTTGTCCGCATGCATAGGCCAAGCCAACAACACCGTGCCGCCGATCAACCCTTCCAACACCGAGCCCCACCCGAGATGGGTCAGGTACGACCCGACGGCTCGGTGCTCGAGGATCACCTTCTGTGGGGCCCACCCTCTGATCACCCTCCCTCTCTCCGCCGTCCGTTCCTCGAACCCCCGAGGGACGATCTCCGCCGTATCGTCTCCGCCGCTTTTCTTCACCGCCCATATGAAGCGGACGCCGCTTTTCTCCAGAGCCGCCGCGATGGCCTCGCCTTGGGCCTTGCCCATGCTGACCTGGCTCCCAAATGCCACGTAGACGACAGAGTTCTCGGGGAAGGCGTCGAGCCACGCCGTTAGCTCTCCGACGGGGACAGAGCTTTTCCCGCCGCGGTCTTCGTCGGATCCGGCGGCGGGTGGGAGGATGGGACCCACAGGCCAGACTCGGTGATGGCCCATAAAATTCTTCTTCAGATCTTCGACGTATTTTTCTTCCAGTTCCTTGAACGTGTTTAGAATCAGTCCCCAGCTCGTGCTCGTGCTCTGCATGAGCTCCTCAAAGAACCCACGGTCGTCTTGTCCCCAGATCACCGACAACGTGTGAGCAGTTGTCGGGAGGAAGGCGATGGACTTGATCTCGAATTCCTCTGCGAGCTTGTTCGTCCACGGAACAGAGAACATGTCGGAGAGGATCGCGGCGGGTGGGTCCGGGGAGGATTCGAGCCAACTGGAGAGAGGGTGGCGGAGGAGAGAGAAAGCTTGGATCATGTCTCCGATGGCGTGGGTAGGGAGCTGAGACATGTTCTCGACGCCGGAGGGAATGGAAGGGTGGGAAGGGAAAGGGAAGGAGAGGGGACGGAGGTTTTCCGGCGAGTGGATGCGGAGGAGAGGGTCTAGATAATGGAGGTTATTGGGTGTGAGAACGACGGTGACGGCAGCGTGGCGACGGAGGAGGTGGTGGACGAGGTCGACGGTCGGAAGCATGTGGCCTGACTGTGGGAACGGTATCACCATTATGTGTGTCTTCTTGTTCTTCGCCATCGCTCTCTCTCTCTGGTTGTGGTGATCTTTGATTTGAAGGTTTGGTTGTGGAGATTATTAGAGTGAGGAAACCAGATTTTATAGAAATGTTTCTGAGCAATGCTCTTCTACGGATTTTCTGTAGGTGGTAGGTTTGGAAAAAAAAATTGTATGATTTTTTTAATAATTCAAGCATAAAACAAGACTAATTATTAGGAAAAAAAAAAACATTCAATACCTATTACTGGGAAAACATTTACCCGTCCGAATTCCCACATACATGTATGCTTAGACCAATTAAAAAAACATGGATCATGCTTCACGAGTTAGGTTTGGTCCTATACATTAAAAGTATGTTGGTAGTTTAATGGAACTCTACCACCTGGGAAGGGTTTTACATTCACCAATTAATAATAATCGGCAGCATGAGGGTTTGTATTGCATTTTTTTTTTACAATATTACAATATGCCCATTTTGAAATAAATATATGGTTATATCGTTTCACATATAGTTGAAAATTCGTAATTTTCTGAATGGTGGAGGTGGTAGTAGTAGTAGGTAAGCAATTCACTCCGATGCAGCTTTAAAATTTAATGACAACAAGATTCAATTAAAATAAAAATAAAAAAATCGTCCAATCATTTATAAATTAATCATATATACAACCAAGAAAACAACGCGTATAGCAAAAGGGTCCAACGTGGCATCTAGTGACTTGGACTAGCTGTGGCAATTCGGTTCAGGAATCTAGTCTCAAATCGTACCGAACCGATTAATTCGGGAATAGTTCGGTTCAGTATTATATAAAAATATCGAACGGTACAAGATTTAAGATATCGAATGGTTTGAAAAATATCGAACGGTATTTCGGTATTTTTATTTTTTAATTTAAAAATATTTAATGTTAATAATTAATTATAATAATTACTAAATATTAATAATTTATTTATGTCATGTATTTGGATTTATGTTTATTTTGTTTATTAATAATAATTAATAGTGATATTTATTTTGTTTAGCATTATCAAAATTCAATAAATTATTTATTTTTATTAATTTTGATTATATTTAATAGTAAATTGTCTATATTTTATTTTTATATCTTTTTATTTATATTATTTTTCTTTTTTTATATTGTAGATACTTTACTTTATTAATTAAAAAGATTGATTTCTATATATATAATATAATTTTTATTATATATATAATATAATTTTTAAAGCGTAATTTAAAGTTTTGATCATATTTGTAGAAAATTTCAAAATTATTATGTTAAATTTCTTTACGTTTATATCAAATTCAAAAATTCAAAAATTTTATTTTGTTGTCTAAAATTATTATGTTAGATTTTTTTATTTTTATACTATATAAATTATATAAATGATAAGTATGTTATGAACCGTCTTTATTTCAGTTCTTATTTTATATTTATTTATTAGTATCATTACGTCTCGAACCGTCATAATACCGAACCGAACTGAATAATATACGGTACTAATTTGATACAAATTTTATAATACCGAGTAAACCGTTTCCGAACCAAACCATTAAAATTCTGAACCGAATCCCAAAACGCTCACGCCTAACTTGACCTATTTAATCTCTCTGTAACAATTCAAATCTCTGCAGTTATTGGTTTCAACTCTCAACCGTATCTATTCAAATCTATGTCTCTGGGGCCCTTTTCAGCATTTGCTGTTGATGCTTTCACATGTGATGTAAACAATAAGTGTTTCATATACCAAGAAAGGCATGGAACGGGAGTCTATCAAACCTCCAAGGCATAAATGCACGTCCTAAATTAGCTTGTTTCATATACCAAAAAAGATTGTCTCATAGAAACTTCTTAAGCGGCATTAAAGCAGCAATATCAAACAATACATATCCCCGCAGACTCAAATCCACCTTTGAAGTGGACTAAGCTCTTATAGAATGCTATCTTACATTGCCCACTGTGTAAAAGTACCAAACTTATACACCAAAACCAGCAATACACGTATATCCCGACCAAGTAAAACCCTATTCTCTTGCCAAGTGCATTTTGGTCTAGGGTATTGTGCAAAGGTATCAGCGGCACAGGTGACAAGAATGATAAGCAAACTAGACCACGAGGCAACAGTTTTACCGCCACGAAGGAGCACAACCCTATAAAACAGGAACTAAGAAACTCTGCAGCAATCCGGTAAAGCAGAAAACATCCATACAATTACAATGGGAACATTGCCTAAGAAAACCAAGAAAACAGAGCAACAATGGCCGTGCAAATGATAATACAATCTCACAAGTTAATTCCAGCAGCAGAAACATGAGATCATCACTCATCTGTTTCGGAACAATGTTGAAGTAGTGGCCACAAGATTGAGTCTACTAAATAATACCAACTAACCACAAATCCCTGTGACGTAATTCAACATAGTGAAACTCGTTAGAGGCTTAGAGCTCAGACCACGGGGGAACTTCTATGAGCAATATATATTTCTTGATATAGCATCACCCAGTTCCTAATCGCACGAGGGTATTGACTCAAAACTTTAAAATTCTATGACATTGGTATTTTCCACTCGAAATTTTAGGCTGCAGAACAAGGACTAATCCAGCATACATAGAAATCAACGACTATGGCGTTCATCTCGCGAAGAGTAAATCGTCGAACAGGAAATGACAAAAAAAAAAACTTGCCTTGAGAAAACAGGGGAATCACTGATTATTGTTGCTCTTCTTCTTGCCGTTGAGAAGCTCGTCAGGAACAACTTTGAGAAGCTTCTTCTGCTTAGACTTGGCGATTTTCTTCAATGTGTTAGGGTTTGTGATCTTCTGCAGCTTGGTCCCCGATCTCAGGATGTTCTCCTTCTTCCTCTTCTCTCTCTCCTCTCTCATCTTCCTCTTCTCGATCTTATTCTTCCGGATCTCTTCCTTTAGCTCGTTCATCCTATCCTTGTACGCTCTCTTAATCTCCTTCTGTCTCTGCCTCTCCTCCAGACTCGGACCCTTGCTCCTCACCTGCACCGCCGACGCACGGTGCGTTCGCGGCTGCTTCCACTTCCGTCCAGAAACTTTTCCGGAGATCACACCATCGTATGTCGGTCTCCCAACCGCCATAGGCTTGTCGGGATCATTGGAGGAAGCGACGGCGCTCCGCTTGGAGGGAGGCATGGACGCGCCGCCATCGATGTCCATGGACGCGCCGCCATCGGCAATTATCTCGGCAGAGATGGAAGATTCTTGAGATTCGCGCTTCCGCTTGTAGGTTTTCCCACCGAAACCCTCGTCGAGATTCCGGAAATCTACGGTGCACGCCATTTCACTCCGCCGCTAATTTCCTGTGAATTCTAGAGGACATCTAGGGTTTTTCGACTTTATATATGGGAACAAAAAGGGCGAACCGATGTTTTTTTTTTTCATCCGAAAAGCGAACCGGGCCCGGTTCAAATATAAAGTTGTAGAGTCAATTTTTTGGCGTGTTTATATTTATTTGTTTTATTAAAAGTCATAAAAAATCCAATTTTAAAAATTGTTGAAAAGAAATATTAACATAGAGGTAATATTAATATTAAAGGTATTAAAATCTTAATTAAAAAAAATATTAACCAGTCCCCTCCTAGCATACAAACATTTGCAATTTAAAAAGGTAAATAAAAAGTTGAAAATAAATTATTAGTGGATATTACATAGAGGTAATGAAACAATTGTTACAAAAGAGAATTTGAAAAGATAAAAAAAATTTGTAAAAAAGTGCCCCCACGCAGGATCGAACTACGGACCTTCAGTTTACAAGACTGACGCTCTACCACTGAGCTATAGGGGCAGACATTTTTAATATATTATAACTTACGATAAAATAAATGCGATTCCGAAATTTGAATCTATATATATAAAAAAATTGGATTTGGAGGCTTCTAGTCACCTAAACAAGTCACCTCATCATCTATATAGATATTTAAAAATAAAAATTATAAACTTATTTTAACTATATAAAAAAAATTAAAATTGTCTTCCATACTTAAATGCTTATTTAATGGATAAAAAAATCATAGGAATTTTTAAATCTCTTATAATAATAATTCAAGACAATTAATTGGGTATAACACAATTACTTGAGAAATGTAACATAATTTTATTTTGTATGTGAATATATGAATTATAAATTTATTACGTATGCGAATTAATTGGCCAACTATTTATTTGCCCCACTAAAACAAAAAAGAAACGGTGGCAAATAACATTAATTAATAATTATTATGTCTATTTATTTAATTAATTCCATTTTTAGTGTATTATTGTGTGTACTATGTAACATCGTTTCTTTTTCACATAATACGGCTTTCCACTGAATTCTACGTATTAGTTTATTTTGGGGATAATGGCAAAAAAAAACATGAACTTTGTGTATTTGGTAAATAAATACACAAACTTTTATTTTGATAATAAAAATTACACAAACTTTTGGAATAATGGCAAAAAAAATGAACTTTTTTTATTTGGCAAATAAATACACAAACTTTTATTTTGGTAATAAAATACACAAACTTTTATATTTTTAGCACAAACCTCCACGAATAATAACGACGTAAAAAATAACGGAACCATTAACACGTCATCTACATTTGTACATGATAGATTATGATTATATTTATATTTATATTGATTTTAAATATTTAAATTTTAAAATTTGAATATAAATGACCTATATAATTTATTTATATTTAAAATTGTTTTTTAATTTTAATTTAAAATTTTATAATTTTTATATCGGATACGGATATTCACAAATATAGATGACGTATTGATGGTTCCGTTATTTTTTTTGACGTCGTTATTGTTCGTGGAGGTTTGTGCTAAAAATATAAAAGTTTGTGTATTTTATTACCAAAATAAAAGTTTGTGTATTTATTTACCAAATAAAAAAAGTTCATGTTTTTTTTTTGCCATTATTTCAAAAGTTTGTGTATTTTATTACCAAAATAAAAGTTTGTATATTTATTTGCCCAAATACACAAATTTCATGTTTTTTTTGTCATTATCCCGTTTATTTTGGGTTCATCGGTAAGATTTGGGGTCTGGGTCTTAATCTAGTTCAAGATCAATTTTGCAAAGAATTCAATTATAACCACTGTTTTAGAGTTTATGTTGAACGAAACAATGGACTCAAAGTACTAGGGTCCGGTTAAGTCACAGAGTAAAACATTTTTGGGGTTATCCAAGGAAGTCTTCGTAATCAATTAAAAATTGCGAAAGGATGGAGATATCCCAACATCCAAACAGGGACTTGAGTAGAGGGAGAAGAACGGAGAAGAAGACGGACTTGGACATTCTGAAGTCTTCAGTCACACTCTTAATCTGGCTCTCACTCTCTCCTTCTGCAATCTTCCGGTTCGTTGTCCCTATGCTCTCATCGATCTTCTATGGCTTCTCGTTTTTCGCATTTCCTCTGTTCATCGCTGGATTAATTGTTTCGTTCAGCTCCATGGCCAATGCGATCGTTTGGGGAGAACGCTCTGTTCTATGGTCTCTCGATCCTCGACGGAAACCTCAAGCTTTTTCGAACTGGTCTCCTCAAACTTCGTTCTTTAGGGTTTTTGTCCCAAAATTTGATTTTTTTTTGGTTCGATGGCTAAGCGGCTCTCACTGTTCGGTTCTATCTTTAAGAATGCATGTAATTTCAATGTTAAATGTGAATATTTCTTTGCATTTCATATAGTTTGTGAATATTCCCCGGACCCCGCTCAACGGGATGCTTTGTGCACCGGGCTGCCCTTTGTGAGTATTCTAGATGAATGATGGCATACTTCCCTTACAGTAATCAGATAGGTGTGATGGATGTTGTGTTTTTTGCTATTCAGCTATTTAATCTATAGCTTTACGGAACTATATTCCTTTTGCCCAAGAAGAAAGTAAATTTATGTATGCTTTTATCTTTGCTTGGCAGTGGCATGTTTTAGTTTTCTTTCTTTGATTTTTTTTTTTTTTTATGGAGGGAGATAATCATCAGAGGTAGCATTTTCATATGCATCCTAAGCGATCAAGTCAAGGAGATGGGCCAATTACTAAGCCAGTCGGAAGTAGTGATAGGCTTAGGAGGAGAGGAGGTCCAGAATGTATGGTCACTTGTACTATTATTACACTCGAACCAGCTTACCTAGTAGGGAA